CCTTCTCCCTCTCAGCCCCAGGTTTCTTCTTGGGGCACTTCCCGCAGAGCCGGACCACCCTGATGTTCCCTCTGGCCGGGTGGCCCTGGTGGCCCAGGTCCTCGAAGGCCCTCCGGGCGCTCTCCAGGCTCTCATACTCCACCAGGGCACAGCACTTGCTCAGCAGCTCCGGGAACCGCACCGTGTATCTCCGCACGTCCGAGGGCAAATTGCGGCCCGGGCGCAGGATGCGGATGGAGGAGATGGCCCCGAAAGGGCTGAACATCCTCGTCACGGTCTCCAGGAAGTTCTTCTGGAGCGGCGGTGGTGGTGTTGGTGGTGGTGGGGAGAGCAGCAGCAGCTCCTGCTCCTGGGGCAGCAGCTCCCAGGCCAGCAGCAGGTTGCTGGGAGGGACGCTGGGGACGGGGACGCGGCGTCGGACTTTGGTGCCTTCCTCGTTCACCTCCAGCAGCGCCGAGAAGCGCAGGGCGTAGAGCGTCAGGCGCCAGTCCCGGGTCAGGTACTTCACCTGGGGGTGACACGGGGGGGGATCCCCCCGGCCCCCTCAGCCTCTCACCCAGCGAGCTGAGGCCACAGCAGGGCAACATCCCCCCAGAAGGTTCCCCGGTTCCCCCTGGATGTGGCAACAAGTCACATCACACCAGAGCATCCCCACAGCTCCTGGGTGAAGGGACCATCCCTCCCGAAGGAGCCTGGGGGAGCTGTGGGTACAAGGGGTGAGCCCAGCCCTGGACCATCCACACCCTTCCACGGGTGGAGAACCCATCCAAGGCAGAGAGCAGAGCCCAGCTCTGCTCCACCAGTGTTTGAACCCATCCAACACCCACCAGTGTTTTGCCAGGCCGTGGACAGCCCAAGCTGAGCCTGGAATTCTCTGCCCACCCCACCCAGACACCCCCCTCAGCTGGGCAGTGCCAGGGGGAACCTACCTTCTTGAAGGACGTCAGCAGTTTGATACTGACAAAGCCCATCTTGTTCTTCTGGACGTGCTTCAGGAGGAAAGCATCCTTGGCCAGGTTCTCATCAGAGAGGTAGAACTCCACCTGAGCCACGATCCTCCAGACCAGCTGCGGGTCAGGGATGGAGTAGTTGCAGCCCAGCAGCTCAGCCCCCAGAGCATTGCTCCCATCACTGCAGCCCCTGTCAGAGCAGCAGGGACACAGGTGTGAATTGGTGGCTTTTTGGGACATGCCTGGTCTCAGCCACCACAGGTGGAGATGGCAGAAACCCCAGGGAAGCTCCAGCAGCTTTGCCCTGGCTCCAGAGGAGCAGCCTGCAAACACCAGTGCCAGACTGGGAATCAAACCCCATCCCAGACAAGGGACTTGCTGGGAGGGACTTTCAGCAGGGCCTCGGGGACGGGGACGCGGCGTCGGACTTTGGTGCCTTCCTCGTTCACCTCCAGCAGCGCCGAGAAGCGCAGGGCGTAGAGCGTCAGGCGCCAGTCCCGGGTCAGGTACTTCACCTGGGGGTGACACGGGGGGGGATCCCCCCGGCCCCCTCAGCCTCTCACCCAGCGAGCTGAGGCCACAGCAGGGCAACATCCCCCCAGAAGGTTCCCCGGTTCCCCCTGGATGTGGCAACAAGTCACATCACACCAGAGCATCCCCACAGCTCCTGGGTGAAGGGACCATCCCTCCCGAAGGAGCCTGGGGGAGCTGTGGGTACAAGGGGTGAGCCCAGCCCTGGACCATCCACACCCTTCCACGGGTGGAGAACCCATCCAAGGCAGAGAGCAGAGCCCAGCTCTGCTCCACCAGTGTTTGAACCCATCCAACACCCACCAGTGTTTTGCCAGGCCGTGGACAGCCCAAGCTGAGCCTGGAATTCTCTGCCCACCCCACCCAGACACCCCCCTCAGCTGGGCAGTGCCAGGGGGAACCTACCTTCTTGAAGGATGTCAGCAGTTTGATACTGACAAAGCCCATCTTGTTCTTCTGGACGTGCTTCAGGAGGAAAGCATCCTTGGCCAGGTTCTCATCAGAGAGGTAGAACTCCACCTGAGCCACGATCCTCCAGACCAGCTGCGGGTCAGGGATGGAGTAGTTGCAGCCCAGCAGCTCAGCCCCCAGAGCATTGCTCCCATCACTGCAGCCCCTGTCAGAGCAGCAGGGACACAGGTGTGAATTGGTGGCTTTTTGGGACATGCCTGGTCTCAGCCACCACAGGTGGAGATGGCAGAAACCCCAGGGAAGCTCCAGCAGCTTTGCCCTGGCTCCAGAGGAGCAGCCTGCAAACACCAGTGCCAGACTGGGAATCAAACCCCATCCCAGACAAGGGACACTCTCCCTTGGGGACAACCAGCAGCTCCCACCTACCTGTTGAAGCTCTGGAAGAAATCCTGCTGGGGGGGCAGGCTGAGCGAGCAGCTCCGTGGGGGAAGGAGGAGATTCCTTGGTGGTGGCTGCTGGGCAGTGCAGCTGGGCTGGGAACCCACCCTGGAGCTGCCTGACATTGTCCTACATCTGGGACAAACAGACGGGAAAAGGAGGGGTCTGGGACCTGGCAGAGCCAGGTGGGGCTGGGGGAGCAGGGGCAGCTCCTTTCTGTGTCCTTACCTGCTCTGCAGAGCTGGGGAGGGTGGAAAGTCCTGGCATTACATCCCAGAGCCCTGCAGGCAACAGATCCCAACCCTCCCCACCACCACCAGGCTCCAAATTAAGGCAAAGAGTTGGGGGGGAAAAGGGAAAAGAAAGAAACCAAACCCAAACCAGTCCCTCAGAGGAGCAGGCTGCTGGTTTATATGAGCAGCCAAGCAGAAAGAGCCCACTGGGGGGGGAGGGTTATGGACCTGCCCCCACCCACACACCCAGGCCCACCTGGCTCCAGGTGAAGCCAGTTTGCATCTCAGCCAGCCCCAGGTGGGCTGGGGGCAGCTGAGCTCCTCCTGCCACCAGTGGGACTGGGACTGGCACCCAGGGGGTCAGTGAATTGTTGCCATGAAGCACCTCGCTCTGTGCCTCAGTTTCCCTGTCTTGAGCAGGGAAGGTACGGGTCACCTGGAGGGGGAGGGAGGGTTCAATCCAGGGCAGTTTGGGCTCCCAGGGCTGGCAGAGGTGGGTAAAGGTCCCCCTGCAGTGACACTCCCACTGACATCTCCACAGGGACACAGGAGAGGTGGTGGAACCAATGGGGGGGATGGTCTAACAGGAGCATTTTGAGCTGTGCTTTGCTTCCCACTCACAAGCAGGTGGGCTCGGGGTCAAGAGGGGCTGAGGTCCCCAGGGGGAATAACCTCCTTGTTCCAGCCCTGAGACTCAGTATCTGAGGGAAGAGACTCGTGCTGGTCCAGTCATCCTAACAACACTGGGCACAATCCAGAGGGAATCATAGAATCATGAGGGTTGGAAGGGACCTTAAAGATCACCAAGCTCCAACCCCCCTGCCATGAGCAGGGAACCACCAGCCCAGGTTGCACAAAACCTCCTCCAACCTGGCCTTAAAAACCTCCAGGGATGGGGCATCAACACCCTCCCAGGGCAACCCATCCCAGTTCCTCACCACCCTTAGAGTGAAGAATTTCTTCCCAATATCTGCCCTAAATCTCCCCTCTTCATTTCAAACCATCACCCCTTGTCCTATCACTGTCTTCTCTGATGAAATGAGCAAGAAGGATGCAAAGAGGTTGAGGCTAAACCTTCCCCTCCCCGAGGGGTCAGAGGGGGAATGATCTGTCACTTGTCACATCCCTGCCTCACTGCTCCCATCTTCCACAATTAGTCTGGATGCACAATTAGCAAATGCTCCTCCCAGCCTCCTGTGACCTCTGGGGTGAGGAGCAACATTAAATATTGCCCTCCAGACCAGCTGCTGGTTCACAGGGAACCTGCCTCCCTGCAGACAACAGATCTCTGGCCAAAACTGCTTTAATTAGACAGCACTGGGCAGATCCTGCACCTCCCCCTGACCCTGCAGCATCTGCCTGACACCTCCTTTCAGGGATTAAAGAAGAAATGGGACCACAACAATTCTTGTACAGGCCTGAGCATTTGATACATGTTTATTGCTATTCAGGTGTAGCTGGGAATTTGGTGCATATGGGGTTTGGGTGGTTCTCCAGGCTCCTTGCACAGTCCTGCCCAGCTCCAGAGCTGCTCCTTTGCACATCCCTGGTGAGCAGAAGGTGGTTGGGCTGGCTCAGCAGCTGCTGCCAAGAGGAGCCAATGCCCCAGCTGAAGTGAATTTCACACCCAGTGGGAGCAGGGAAGTTCAAGCCTTGGTTGCTCAGCTGGGTTTTTTTTTGAGCCCACCTTCTCTCATCAGCAGGATCTGAAGTGCAGCCCCTGCCCCTGGGAGTGTTCCTGGTCATTATTTACAGATGAATCCAGCTTCCTCCCTTGTCTCCTGCTACTTTGATAGGAGACATGTACAGACAAACATCACCCTGACAGACAACAGGAAGAGGGAAAGTTGTGCCACTGTACACACTTGCTTTTTACTTTCCACCAGCAACAGGTTTCCAAGTGTCACAGCCACCTTTAGTACCATTGGGAAAGAG